CTGGCGTTGGGAGGGGAGTAGGGTCGTAGTGGTTAGGGGGGGGGGCTGGAGGCCAGGACTCCTGGGTTCTCTCCTAGCACTGGGACGGGAGTGGGGTCTAGTGGGTGGAGCAGGGGGCTGGGAGCCAGGACTCCTGGGTTCTCTTCCGGCTGCCACCGCGCCCAGCTCACGAGGAAACCAGTCACCCCCCATGATGACACCCTCCATCCATCCCAGATATCCGTCCCCCCCCCACACAGCACGTTCCAGGATGCACTTCCGATCCCCCGCATCCGAGCCTGCGTCAGGCCAGGGCTGGGTACAGCTGGCGGGGGCGAGGGGGGTGATGGATGGCTTGGCCCGGCCTCCCCCCGCGCCAGGTGGCTCCGATCTAAATATTTACAGCCTTCCTGCCCCCAATTGGGGCTGATGTTGCGGTGGGGGGACAGGCAGCTGACCCTGGCCACAGACCAGCAGGGCCAAGGGGGTGATGTAATAGGGGCAGTGGGCGCTGGGGGGCAGAGGGAACAAAGATAGAAATGGAAAATACCCATCAGTAAAAAGCGAGATGGAAAATGTGAAAAAATCAAAAGAACGAGAGAACGAACGAAAAACTCGAGAGAACGAACGAAAAACTAGAGAGAACGAACGAAAAACTAGAAAAAAACAAATGAAAACCTGGGAAGAATGAATGAATGAAAAAGTGGAAAGAACAAATAGACAGCGAGAAAGAATTTATATAACACTAGAAAGAACCAGAGACCGAATAAAAACGAGAAAAAACGAATGAAAAACCGGAAAGAGCAAATAAAAAGCGAGGAAGAATTTGTGAAACGCTACAAAGAACCAGAGACCGAATAAAAAATGAGGAAGAATGAATGAAAAACTGGGAAGATCAAGGGACTGAATGAGAAACGAGGAAGAAGAAAGAATAAACTACAGCGAACGAATAAAAAGTGGGAAGAATTCGTGAACCACTAGAAAGAGCCAGAGACCGAATGAAAACCTAGACCGGACCCGAGAACACACGAAAAACTAGGAAAAATGAAACCTAGGAAGAAGGAATGGAGACAAAGAAAGACAGAAAGAGAAAACCATGAAAGAAAGAGACATTTGAAAGCTGAATGACAAAAGCGACAGGCAGGGGAGGGTCCCGGCCCGGTCCCGGCCCGAAGAAACAGAAGAATAAGACAAGACAAAAGAAAAGCTGGCGGAGGGAGGCCAGGAGCGGTGGAGGGAAGGCGGCCGGCCCCAGCGAGGGGGGGGTGTCCGATCAGGTAGTGGGGGGCTCCATCAGAAGAGAGGACCCCACAGCTCAGCCACCGGGGGAGAGGGGAAAGGCCCCACCCCCCATTCCGCACCCCCCTGAGCCAGCAAGTCCCTGCCCTGGGGCCGGATGGGAGCCGGCGCCCCCTAGAGGGGACAGACCCCGCGCCCCATTCCCCACCCCCCTGAGCCAGCCAGTCCCTGCCCTGGGGCCGGATGGGAGCCGGCGCCCCCTAGAGGGGAAAAGCCCCGTGTCCGTCCGTCCCCCCCAGGGGCTGTTGGGGGGCATGGAGCTCTGGCTGGGTCCTGGGCAACAGGGGCTGAGCGATGCCAGGGGTGGGGGAGAAATGGGGCAATGCCCCCCCCCACTGAGCTATGGGCCATCCCCTAACTCCCCCCTCAATCCTTTCCTCCAGCCCAGTTCCTCTCTAACCCTTCCTGCCTTATGGTCATGGTTCCCATGCAGCACCCGGCGCCACGGGGCCCTGATCTTGGTCCGGGGGAGGGGGGGGATTCTGTGCAGCGCCCGGCACGACGGGGCCCTGATCTCAGTTGGGGGTGGGGGGCTTGTGCAGCACTGGCGCAACAGGGCCCTGATCTCAGTCGGGGGGGGTTGTACAGCACCCTGCGTAACGGGGCCCTGATCTCAGTTGGGGGGGGTTGTACAGCTCCCGGCGCGACGGGGCCCTGATCTCAGTGGGAGGGGGGGACACGACTCCTGTAGCACCCGCTGTCCCCCATCCCCTGACACAGACTCTGGACCCAGCCGGTTGGTTTCATTGAGTTTAATAGAAAAGCTTTTTAGGGTCAGCGCCCGGCATTTCGCTCCCCTGCGGGCAGCCGGGGGTGCCCGTCGGCCTGGCACCTGAGAGCCCGGGGGAGCCCAGAACGGGACAGCGGAGCCGGGCTAGCTCGGGCGGTCTCAGCCCACCCTCCAGCTGCTGGATGGGGAGTGGTGTGTGTGGTGGGGGGGGTAGAAATTGCATGATGGGATAATTTACCCAGAAGGCATTGCAACTGGTCGATCCAGTCTCCCACAATGCACTGCTCCCGGGCGCCCAGCCGGGCGGGATTCCCCAGCAGTGGCTCGGCTCAGCTGGTGCTGGCGGGGTGGGGCTTGACCCAGTCCCGATCCATCCGGCCCCGAGCAGGAGGGGTGGGGACACAGGCACAGGGGAGTCCGGGGAGGGGCAGGGGACAGGGGCACCGGGGGGATCCC